CACCTTTTTCCTATCCTCTTTTATTATAAATTTAAGAATATTATCTGGTTAGTTGATTTTAGAGCTAGTTATTTATACGAATTATTCGAGATCAATTTTTTTTAATGTCTTCTGTAGGGGTGTTCACGGTTTGGATAAAAACCGATTCAAACCGAAAAATCGAACCAAACCGATTAAATGAACCGATTTTATTTAGGGTTTGGTTTGGTTTGGTTTTAGATTTTTAAAAAATCAATAATATTTGGTTTGGTTATGGTTTTGTTCGAAAAAACCCGAAGAAATAACCGAACCAAACCGATAAATAATACACACAAATTTTATTAATATACATACATAATATACTATTTTATAAACAATTTTAAAAATCTTATATATGTATTCATCAAAAATTATTTATAATTTACTTATGAAAGTAAAAATGTCCAAGGTAAGAACATCTATCTTATTGGTTTTATGTATATGAGTGTCTATGACAATTCTTTGTGGAACTAAAAATGTCAATGTCTCTTCCTTCTAGGACAAAACCAGTGAATTTTGAAGTTTTATTCATAGTAAATTCAATGATCGAAAGTTTTGTAATGTCAATCATTCTAACTATTTTTCATTTTGAATGGATTATTGTCACTTTTTTCACGTTTTGAATAAATTATTTCTTTTAATTTTATGTATATGGTTAATAACCGAATAACCGAACCAAACCAAACCGAAACCGATAACAACTAAACTGATAAATATATATTATATTAGGTTTGGTTTGGTTTTGATAATTTTAAAACCAATTAAGTTGGTTTGGTTTTGATTTTGACCAATAACCAACCCAAACCAACCCGTGAACACCCCTAGTCTTCTGAATGACTTTGTCGCATAAAATTTATTTTTGGAGTTCACATTTTTTGTGTAGTTTGTAGGCTATTGCAGACTGAGACATTTAGCTAGTTCGCACAAAGTGCGCCTACTATTCCGATTCTTAGTTGCCTTATTTGGAAAAAAGTTACGGATATAATTAGTGGCTTATTTTTTATTGTTTTAGAATAATCGTTAGTGTAAAAGTATTTTTGAATTATTTAGCTAATTGAAAAATATTGTTGAGCCAACCAAGTAATGATGGCAATATTTTTTAAAGCCAAGAGCATAATATATGAAAATTTTGGTACAAAATATAACGATTAGTCTGTTTTAAATATTTTTAAGTCAAAAACATAATATATGAAAATTTTGGCACAAAATATAACCGTTGGTCTGTTTAAAAAAATATATAACTTACCCGAATGTTTATTATTTATTAAAAAAGCCCCCAAACTTTGTAGTTAATAGTGTTGTTAGTTTGACGATAATGGTTATTATTTATAAAAATAGCCCCCAAACTTGCCCAAATCTTTTTTCATTGATGGTTCTTTGTAGTTAATGGTGTTGTTAGTTTGACGATAATGGTTATTATTTATAAAAATAGCCCCCAAACTTGCCCAAATCTTTTTCCATTGATGGTTCTTTGTAACTAGTTTTAATTTGACGAGTTGTAGTAGCTAGTAATAATTATGTAATTAGTAAGTTGTTACTAAAAAATCGTGTTATGACTTTAGAATAATGTACTATCTATTTGATTACAAATCTGATAAATCTGCTTCAAATTTATATTAATATAGAATTATGATTTGTGATAATAATAATGATCGTCATCAATAAAGGTTATGCGTGCAATTTGGGGTTAGCACATGTTTGTATGGGTACGATTGTGTATTCTTTATATGGATATAATTATATTTCATACTTTAAATAAAACTAATGCAATATATTTTGAAAAAACTATGATCGGACACAATTTTATTTTTTTTATCATACAAAAATGGGTTTGACCCATCCCTACTCCTCTTGCTCTTGTCATTTATTGAACAATCCAATCATTCTAAAGTTACAGCTATTCATGGAAATTAAACAGTCTTATCTGTTCCTTTTATGTGTGGCAGAAGAAATTAGAGAACCAATTAATTCTTGCCTAGATGCAAAGCAAGAAGATGACTATTAAACTCCTAAAAATATAACAATAATGCTCCAATGGTGATATGATTCCGCAAAATTGGCAATCCTGTCTGTTGGTGTGGTACTATAACACACATGCATATGCATGAATGTTGTATATCATGAGAAATTAGCTTATTATATACTTTTTGGGGTCGTTTGGTTGGAAATCTCAGGATTAGCTATCCTGGTATTAGCTATCCTAAGATAACTTATCCCATCACTATGATATAAATGGTGGGATAAGTTATCATGATATACAATATTCATGCATGTGTGTTCAAGAAAATTATTTTAGGAATTCTATAATTTATTTATTTATTTTTATCGTTAAAGAAGTAACCTTTTTAATACTAATTAATTCTCAAAAAAATAATAACTTAATAAATTATATTATATATTATAAGTTAAAATGAATCGAAAAACTTAAGTGTTATCAATTTTTTAAAAAGGGGGTGGTCCCTTAATTAAAGACCATCTTTGACTTAAATGCTGATAAGATAAACAATAGAATTAATTGTGGATGCTTTGAATGCGTATGATGGCAAAGTTCTGGCAAATACTTTGAATGTATGGTATGTAAAAGTAAAATAGTTTTATTTAATATAAATATGTGTCCATCGGAGGTTGGGGCAAGTGTAGAAACAATCGATTTTGAGATTATCATTTAAGTTACAGCTACTATATAGAACCAACTTCAAGAATATGCTATCGAAGATGCAAAAATTCACATATGAAGTTAGGTTCTAGCAATTCAAATTCTGACAATTTTTATTTTATCTAAAGTTTGGCTTGTTAGAATTTAGACATAGAAATATTTTTATTTGAAATTTGACTTGTTGGATCAGACTTCTAACATGTATGTTTGAAGCTCCAACATATATATTTGATGTTGAAAATAATTTTTTTAAAGTTTCAATTACCAATCTTTATTCATTCAATAATTTTATATATTTTAATAATTCCCACTTATATTTAACTTCAATTCGAAATCAAATCTACTTTCATTTTGCAATAATAGTAATTTTAATGCTAAAAATCATTAACCAACTATAAGTACAAAATTTGAAAAAAAGTGGCTACGTCTTAAATTACTTTCTGGAACGTGGTATTGCGTTTTCAAAATTCAAATGTTTTAATTGCTTGAAAAAAGAGACCGCTAATAATCTTTTGAACTTAAATAATTTGGTACACTTTTTGTTATCATTTTGACGATATATAATAGTAATAGCAAACGAGAATGCTGAAACATTTTTGAATTTTAAAAGTAATATTCCATCCATTTAAATTTGTTTAATCTACCTTTCTTTTAGTTTGTATCACTTTTTAATAACTCTTTAATTTTAACTTTTCACATGAAATGTTTAAGATCACAAAACTAAAAAACATTTTGATACATATAATAAGTTAAGATTATCAAATTTAAAAGTTTTATTTATTTTTAAAAAAATTATATCAAATCAAAATAAGTCAAATAAATTAAAACGCTGAGCGTACGGCTAAAACTCTAATCAAAATTAGGCCAACTTCGTTGTCTACAGAAGCAGAAATAATAATAACGATCGGAACCACATTGTCATTAATTAATTGAATAAATGGAAAAGAGTTAACACAGCAATCAACATTAAACGTATCTGACCACTAGAACAAAATAACTCATAAGCCATAATTAATTAGGTTGCAAGTCCATTTATAAACTTTCAAGTAGCCATACAAATTGTGTTTCGTGTCTCACAAATATGCCTTGGTTTTTCGATAATTGAGAAAACATTCACGATAAGATAACATAACTTATAGTATCTTTCATGTTTGGTTTAGATTCAAAATAATTTTGGATATATTTTTAACCGTTTAGACTGGTGGTAGTAGAAATTATGAGACGTAGAAGTAGGCTACAGAAGATTTGGAAAATTTTAGTTGAAGACATATGACTTAAATCGGATACGTATGGAGATCGAGAACTAAGATTAAAAACTTATGATATAAATGAATGTCGTCGCACTTTCTGTGGAAGAGGCATGAGGTTAGCTTCTTCCTCTCCGATCCTCTTCCCCTTTTTAGTAGTATTATTTAGTTATTGTGTAGTTTCTTATTCTTCAATGAAGCATTACTATTTGTTGTTGCATTTTTTTTGTAATTTCCTATTTTACTGTCTATTTTGTCTTACAATTCTGCGTAAGGTACTTTTTTTTTCTTATGAAGACGAGGGTCTATCATAAACAATCTTTTTACTTCACAAGGTAGCTAGAGGTAACGTCTACATACATTTCGCAACTAGCTAGTACTCTTTTCTAAATAGAAGAGTTGCACCTAAGACTCAGAACTCAAAAGTAAAAGGAGGTGATACCGAACCTTGTCTATATAGCTATAGCGTTAGCGTTGAATTAGATTTTAACCATTATCTTCATATCCGTAATAGTGCGAAAAGAAGGTCCGGCTCCAAGTTGTTCAAGAATAGTGGCGTTGAGTTTCTTTGGAAGTCACGTTAGTGCAGACGCATCACAGTATATTCAATAGAATTGACAAATTTTAGGCTTGATCTATCTCTATACTTTTCATAGTCAAGAAATATGCATGTTGAATAAAACTTAAAGCTAGTAATTCATAAACTTCGCTCCCAGCTCACTTATCTTTTCGAACCGATTATTCTTTTCGTGCTTATTCTTTTCAAACCTCATTTATGAATTTATTATTGTTACTTTTGAATCATATATTCTTATCGCTAAAGCTTTTGAGGATTTATCAGGGAAAATGAATCTCTCACCTAGAGGTTCGCAAAACACTAGAGGTGACAATTTCAATAGAGGAGGCAGAGGAGGTAGAATTAGAAAACCTGTGAAAAAAACACAGGATCAAAACTCAACTTCCAATCAATTTTGATGATTAAGTCCATCTTTTGGAATGTGAGAGGCATCAACAGTCAAGGTGCTTTTGATAGACTTAATCAAATTAAAAGACTTCACAATCTTGCTTTCATTGCTATTATGGAACCTTTTAGCAAAAGGACCAAACTTGACAAATTTAAAAGGCGATTGGGTTACAACTTCGCTTACTCAAACTGTAACAATAAGATTTGGATTTTTTGTGATCAGCTCTATGATTGTGTCATTATTCAAGATAAAGAGCAGCAAGTCACCTGTAGCATCACTACTCATGAGGAAACCATTTTATTGACTGTCATATATGCAAAATGCAAGGATCATTTAAGGGAGCCACTTTGGAATGATTTGAGATACATTGCTAATAACATGAATCTTCCTTGGTTGGTCGCAGGAGATTTTAATGTTATTTTGGCTCCAGAGGAGAAACAAGGGGGTAACTCTCATAGAATGTATAAAAGTATACCTTTTATAAATTGTATGATGGATTGTTCCTTGATAGATATTGGATTCCTTGGTTCTATCTATACTTGGTGTTGTCACGACCCGAGCCTACACCCTGGACGTGGCCGGCACTCGAAGACCATTGCTGGTCCCCAAGCGAACCCTTATCCTGGCTGACTACAAGCGGAAAACTGATTCAAGCATACAAAGCTTAAAAACTGAAATAAAAGTTTATAAAACTTAAATACAAACTTTAAGTCCAAAGAAAACTCTGTATAATAAAATATATACAACTCGCCATCAAAAAGCAACTTTAGTCTTTAAAACATTTAATAAAATAAATGATACAGACTTCTCAACTCTACTGACTATCTATAAAGCCTCTAACTGATAAAGATGGAAGTCGGGACAAGACCCACGACATCCTAACAACTGATATAACTGAAAGGTAAATGAAATCCTCCAAAAGCAAGGAGGCTCACCATAGCTAACTCGAACTCTCGGATGTATCAACGAAGCTCCTGTTGATGAACCTGAATACATGTGTCTGCATCATGAAAAGATGCAGGCCAAATGGCTCGGTACGTGGAATGTTCGAGCATGTAAGAGGAATTCTAAAACATAAACATAAGCTTGAAACTTAATAGAAATGAAACATACTTACCTCTTCTCAAACTTACTCAACTCAAGGAATACTCAAGGGTACTCAAAACTACTCAAACTTACTCAACTCAGAAGTACTCAAGGATAAGATACTCAACTCCGAGATTAGATACTCAACTCAAGGATATGATATTCGACTCAAAGATATGATATTCGACTCTAGATACTCAACTCTGGATACTCAACTTTGAATACTCAACTAAATATGACTGAACTCATTTCAATATAAAGCAATTTAAAACAAGTGCAATATAAAGAAACAAACTGTTTAAAAACATGCTGTCAAATTTATGTGTATGCAAGGATACAACATAACTCTGAAATGTATATAAAAATACAATAAACTGATGTATATAAAAATACAATAACTTCTGTGGGAGTTTCTCTAACCGACAACCATCACATAAGAGCTATAGTGATGATACAACGATCTACCTCACGCTGCCAGCGCATCCTATACCCGGCCAAAGGTATAGGACCTGAACTACTAATGGATACACTAGTCTATGTGAAAAGGGTTCATCTAAAAAGTATGACCCTTTTCTACCTATGATGGCTACATGGTTTATGGGGGCTGTGAGTTGTCTGAACTCTCCCCCATATCGGTGCTCAATACTACTCCCAAAATATACTAGCTCTTATGTTTTAAAAACATACTTTTTTCTGCTGATTTGAGATAATTGCTCAAAAACTTAGCTCAAAGGCTATCTTGGAAATCTCAGTTTCCCTGTTTGCTTCATTTAGAAAGCTATTACTCTTTTGTGAAAACTAGCCTAAAGGCCCTTTGGAAATCTCAGTTTCCGTTCTTATTTAAATGTGAAAACATTTATAAACTCTTTGGGAATACTTAGTCCCCATATACTTTTGAAGAAAAGGACTTCAAACTTTATTCTTTACTCTTTACTGAACTCAAAACTTAAGTCTTAAAACAAAGTTAAAACGTTTGTAAAAGACTTCTTAAAATATGGTTCATACCGAATTATGGACATGAACTACTCAATGCAAGGTTTTCAATAACCATAGATAGAACTCAAATACATGGAACTCAAGAACTTCAATAATACTACTTATTTCAAGAATGCTCAACTCAGAATTCATGCGGAATTATGAGCATGAACTACTCAACTCAATGACTCAAAGATACCTCTCATCTCAAGACTGTTCAACTTATAATGTTCATGCGAAATTATGGGCATGAACAATTCAACTCAAGGACTTCATGGATAACATGTAATAGTTCCATGATTAGAAATATAATCTCAAAGGGGTTAGAAACTCAATACTTAAAAGGCTTAGAACTTGAAGACACCACTTCTCTAAAGGATGCTCAACTTACGACGTGCATGCGGAGTTTATGGGCATGAACGACTCGACTCAAGGGTCAAAATATCAATAAGGAATTCATGTACAACTCTTCTCATTCTCATACTTACTTTCTCAAAATTTAACTTAAATCGATGATGGATCTCAAAGGATTCAGAATTGAATTCAAAGGCTTTCTTGAACGCTACTCTTAACTCTCTCTTGAATTTGAATTATGAATTCAAGAGTTATGATTCATGATATGAAGGATCTCAATAACAATATAGCTATTCGATAATTAGGAATAGAACTTTTAAAAGAAACATGAATTCAAGAACTCAAAATCAACTTATCTCAAGAAAACTCAAATCTAGGAAAAGTATCCTAGATTACTCTTTTTCTGATCTGAAAGTAGATGTAGGGCGTGAGGACGAACTAGTCCAACACTATGATAGCCTTACATACCTAGAAGAACAAGATTCTTGAAGAATCTTGAAGAATCTTGAAGAATCTTGAAGAAGAACTTGATTAGAAGCCTTGAAACCCTAGCTTGAAGGTAAACAATCAAGAAGACCTTTCTTGAGATTCTCGAGTTAGTTTCTTAAAATCTCTATAGCCAAAAATTATGATTTTCATGAGTGAAGATGAAAATCTGATTGTTTTGAGCTTTTTAATTAGTCAAGAAATTCGTTGATGGTTTTAATGGAGGTAAAAAGACAAAAACGATTATTTTCAATATTTTCCCGTCGGCTAATTCGTAACAGCACTGTATAGGTTACTAAAATAGTCATAACATTTTACTCATATATTGGATTGATGTGAAACTGGTGGGGTTGGAAAGTAGATTCAATTACCTTTAATTGGATAGGTTATGACTCACGTAACTCTTAATATTCTAGGAGATATGGTCATTTAAAGTTGACCCAAGCAGAATCTTACATTAAAACTTAATGAAACTTCAAGAACACTTATCAAGAACTCATCAAGAACTCTAATCTTTAAATTTCAAGAACGAAATTACGCTGAATAAATCATGATTGGCGTGTGGGTGAAAGAACCCAACACTATGGAAGCTTACATACCTCTTAGGGATCAAACCCATGGCGAAAATCCGCAACAAGATGCAAGAATCTCGACGAATGCTTTCATCCTTTTTCTTTTTTTCCTCTTTTCTCTTCTTGAATTCTCAACTGAAACCCTAGGCGTATTTTAGGATTATAAAACTGAACCTAATAGGATTAGACCCTTAAAATATTATTAAAAACGAATTAAATCTGGTTGGGTAAGGAAAAGACCAAAATACCCCTCTTTATTTTCGGCTAACTTTCCTTAACTGGACAGCCTATCTTCAAAAGGCCATATCTCACTCATCCGACCTCGAAACATAGCAAAATCCACGGCGTTGGAAAGATAATTCAAAGATCTTCGCTACGTATATGGTAGCACACCTAATTCATCCTGAGCTAGGAGTTATAGTTGTTTGAAGTCGACCCAAAACTCATACTTAAGCATAACTTGCAAAATTTCAGATTTTGCTATTTCCAATTTAATTCTTTTTGAAACTCAAGGTGCTACATCTAGTGACCTTAACACTTAAGAAATTTTAAACTCTTTGGTAAAATCTTACTCACTACGAAGAACGGCTCGAGTCTTAGTTCAAAAATTTTCTGGGGTGTTACAGGTGTAATGGTCGAGGAAAAGGAAAAAAAATTTGGAAAAGACTTGATAGAGTATTAATAAATACTGAATGGTCACTCAAGTATGTTGATACCACAGTCACCCATCTTATCAGGATTGGATCTGATCACTGGCCTCTCTTGATTTCTATATCCTCTTCTCATCAAACTCATCAGAAATATTTTAGATTCTTGGATCTATGGACTCAAGAACCTGGTTTTAATGAAACAGTGAAGGCTGCCTGGAATGAAGATACTAGTGGATCACCCATGTGGAATTTCCACTTGAAATTGAAAAACACATGCAGAAAGCTATCTCAGTGGTCGAGAAACAGTGTTGGTAACATTTTTGATAACACTAAAGCTATGGAAAAAAAGGTTGCGGATTTAGAAGAAATTTGCTTGACCAACAATTCTGATAGCAACAGAATGGCTTACAACTGCGCAAATGCTCAACTTATTATGCATATCAAGAAGGAAGAAGCTTTTTGGAAACAAAAGGCTGGTATGAAATGGTTTCAAGATGGTGACTCTAATACCAAATTTTTTCATACCATCATGAACAATAAGAGAAGAAGATTAGTCCTCAAAAAGATCAAAAAGAATGATAACACATGGATTGAAGGAAGTGATGAAATTGCTAAGGAAGCAATAAATTTCTTTGAATCCCAATTCAGTAAGGACGATTCTCACAAAGATTTCAGTATTCTAAATTGTCTACCATGTGTGATAAATGAAGAAGACAATAATATACCGGATGCCCTACCTACTATGACTGAGTTGAAAGAGGCAGTATTCTCACTAAGTGCGGATAGTGCTCCTAGACCAGATGGTTTAACAGGAACATTTTATCAAAAATGTTGGGATATTATCTCGATTGATTTATTTAACATGGTTTGTGATTTTTTTGCAGGTACTCCACTTCCAAGATCTTTCACTCATTCATGTCTTATCCTTATTCCAAAGACACCAAACCCTCAAAGATTTACAGATTTGAGACCAATAAGTCTAAGCAATTTTAGCTATAAGATCATATCCAAAATGCTGAACACAAGACTATCTAAAGTCATTCATAAAGTGGTCTCACCGAATCAAACATGATTCATGAGGGATAGATCTATCACTGATTACATCATGCTCACTCAAGAGCTAGTTCATAATATTAAGAATCCAAACGTCAATGGTAATGTTATCATTAAACTTGACATGACTAAAGCATTTGACAGAGTTGATTGGATTTTCTTATGTCAAGTTCTCAGGCAGTTTGGATTTTCTGAATACTGGATTGATATGATATGGAGGCTTCTTGCAAACAATTGGTACTCTATCAATATAAATGGAAGCAGACATGGTTTCTTCAAATCGGGAAGAGGAATTAAACAAGGAGATCCTTTGTCACCCTCTCTATTTATTATTGGAGCTGAACTTTTGACCAAACTTATGGAGCAACTCATAAGTGAAAGTTTCATTCCCTACTCAGTCGATAAAGGATGTCCCTCTTTTACTCACCTCAGCTATGCAGATGACACTATTCTTTTCTCTTCTGGGGATCCTCTGTCTTTAATGGCTATGATGAATAAGCTTTCTGTTTATGAGAAATGTTCTGGACAACTCATCAACAAAGACAAGTCTTGTTTTCTAGTAGCTCCAAATACTCATGAGTCCTTGACATATGACATTAAGAGAATAACTGGTTTCTCTCAATCTAACTTTCCTTTCACGTATTTGGGATGTCCCATTTATTTTGGTAGACAAAGAGTCAAGTATTTTGATGGTCTTATCTCTAAAATTACTGGTAGATTGCAAGGTTGGCAAGGCAAGATGATTTCTTGTGGGGGTAGAGCCGTCTTGATAAAAGCAGTCCTTCAATCATTGCCCCTTCATATGCTTTCAGTGATACATCTTCCGAAAACAACTACTTCTCAGATTGAAAAGTTGTTTGCTAATTTCTTTTGGAGTGAGACTGAAGGAAAAAAGAAACATCATTGGATTGCTTGGAAAAATCTTTGTTATCCCACTGACGAGGGTGGAATAGGAATCAAATCAATCCAAGACATTAACAATAGCTTTAGTGCTAAAGTTTGGTGGAGCTTTAGAACTAGAAATACCTTATGGAGGAACTTTCTTGAAGCTAAATATTGCCCAAGAGCGCATCCAGTGAAGAAAAAATGGGTTTCAGGGCAGTCTCACACCTGGAAAAGAATTCTTCATGTGAGGAGTGATTGTGAGAAGTACTTAGTTTGGAAAATTGTCAAAGAAAATTGCTCTTTCTGGTGGGATAATTGGTTAGGTACCGGTAATCTTGGACAACATTTTCCTCATACTCGAAGATCCAAAAAACTCAAAGTTGCAAACTTTATGATTGGCAACACTTGGGATGAAAACAAGCTTCTCCGTATTCTTCCTATGGATATGGTTAAGCAAATCCAAAATATTAACATCTATGAGGGAGAAGATGACTTTCCGATATGGACTCCTGACACTCATGGTTTCTTCACTTGCAAATCTTCTTGGAAAGTTCTCAGGGAAGGAAGGAATATGTCACGCCCCGAGCCTACACCCTGGGCGGGACCGGCACCCGGAGACCATTTCTAGCCCCAAGCGAACCCTTGGCCTGGCTTTCTTAACTCAGCGGAAACCTCAACAGAATAACTCAATGCAATGCAATATTACAAAACAACTTAACTTATAAAATATGGCCATAAAGGCAACTCGAATCTCAAAATAGAATATTTACATATATATAGATGAGAGACTCAAAACTAACTGACTGACTGTCTGTCTATGAAGCCTCTAAAATACTGAGATGGATGTTGGGACAGACCCCGCAACATCCTAATAAAACAAAAACTAAGAACATAAAATAATTGAGTCCTCCGGAATGCAAGGAGGCTCACCACTGACTCTGGAGTGCTCAGCTGGATCAACGACGTGCAGGATGCTTATCCGGGGTACCTGAATCTGCATCATCAAACGATGCAGGCCAACTGGCATCAGTACATGGAATGTACGAGTATGCAAGCTGGAAAACTAAGCAACAAAGGCTAGAAGGAAAACTGGAAGAAACTGAATAGCTTACCTGGCTCAACTTAACTCAACCTGACTGACTTCTTTCAATATAAGGCAATTTAAAACAAGTGCGATATAAAGAAAGATTGCTTAAAACATGATATGAACTCTGTGTGTATACAAGGATACAATAAGCCTGAAATGTGTATAAAAATACAATGAACTGATGTATATAAAAAATACAATAATCTCTGTGTATGAAAAATACAATAACTGCTGTGGGAGTTTCTCTAACCGACAACCATCACATAAGAGCTATAGTGATGATACAGCGATCGACCTCACGCTGCCAGAGCATCTTATACCCGGCCAAAGGTATAAGACCTGAACTGCCTAATGGATCCACTAGTCTAATCTGAAAAGGATTCATCTAAAAAGTATGATCCTTTTCTACCCATGGTGGCTAACATGGTTCTATGGGGGCTGTGGGTTCTTTGAACGCTCCCCCAATTCGGTGCTCGATACTACTCCCAAAAATGTACTGGCTCTTATGTTTTTAAAACATATTTCTTCCTGCTGATATGAGATAATTACTCAAAAACTAGCCCGAAGGCTTTTTGGAAATCTCAGTTTCCAACCTTGTTTAAATGTAAAAACATTTCTTTAAAACTTCTTTGGGAATACATAGTTCCCTAATAACTTTGAGAAAAGAACTCAACTTTAAACTCTTTACTTTACTTGAACTCTTGGCTTGATGTGAAACTCTTAACTTAACATGAAACTCTTAACTTTTGACTTGACTTGAAACTCAATACTTAACTTGGAACTTGAGCCTTAGAATGAAGTTAAAACGCTCAATGAAGACTCTTGGAAAACCTTAAAGACTTGCTTTGACTTACTTACTTCTAAGCTTGACTTCACTTGACTTGGAAACTAACTTCACTTGAATTGGAAACTAACTTCACTTGACTTGGAAACTAACTTCACTTGACTTGTAGTTTTACTTGACTTTTGGAAGTACCTTGGAGTGTTGGAAACAACTAGGAAACATAGGTATAATACCTAGGAACATGTATAAAAAAAGAAATGGTGAATGAAAGGGAAGGATTGGTGTCCTTGGCACTAGGAGAGGTGCAACAGCCCAGCCCCTTTTTCCCCAAAAATCCGACTTTTTCCCCTTGTTTCTTTCCAATTCTAAACCCTCTCAACCTCAAGGTTTCAGCAGCAACACTTAGAATCATAAAGACCCTTATTATACAATAGATTCAACTCAAAAATCACAGCCAGAAATTTGTACTAAATCAGCAAGAACTTCAACACAACACCACTACAACTTCAACAACCAATAAATCTTCTCTTGGAATTAAAAACGAGTTGGTGTGTGGGGGTATGAACCAACCAACACTAAGGATCATAAAATCCCTCAATATACAATAGGTCACAACTCAAATACACAGCCCAATCCTGTCCCACAACCAACAATAACTTCAACAACACAACTAACAACATCAACAACAACTAACAACTTCAACAACTTCAACAACAAATCCAATCTCTTCTCAAATCATAAAAACGAGCTTGGTATGTGGGGGGAAAGGATAAACCCACACTAAAGACTCACATACCTTGATAGGGATCACCCCCGACGAAAATCCACAATGATCTTGACAAATCTTGTTGATCTCCTCTTTCTTCTCTTCTTCTTCTCCTTCTTCTCTTCTTCTTCTCTTGAACCCTAACTCTTTCTCTTTCAAAATGGGACAAAATGATCCAAACATCAGCCTAATACAACAATATAAGCTCAAAAGAAATTATTTGTGAAAAGACCAAAATGCCCTTAAATTTCCGGAACGGAATCCCTGCCAACTGCCCAACTTTCAAAGATCATAACTCGCTCATACGAACTCGGAATCGAGCAAACTCAGTGGCGTTGGAAAGATCGTTCCACAAGCTTCGAAACCATAACTGGAACTACTCCTAAATCATCCTGAGCTAGGAGTTATGACTGCTCAAAGTTGGCCAAAAACTCACTGATTTTCCAAAAATGACTATTTCCAAATTTCAAGCTTCTTCATATTCATTTTTAAATTGTCGGATGTTACAATATCTCCCCCTTGGGAACATTCGTCCTCGAATGAGGTAACTCTTACAAAGCTAAGGGTGTAACATCAACTCAACACCCAACAAACAACCATGCAAACACAACAACAATAACGACATGCTCATTATAATTTATAGAGCACTAAGAAGGAAATTAATACCTTAATCTGCGGATTCAAAGAGATATGAATATCTCTTCTTCATGTCTTCTTCGGCTTCCCAAGTTGCTTCCTCAACAAATTGGTTCCTCCATAGGACCTTAACTGAGGCTACATCTTTCGTTCTCAACCTACGAACTTGACGATCCAAAATTTGAACAGGAATCTCCTCATAAGATAAGTTATCCTTGATCTTGATACTTTCAGTTGGTAGGATCAATGAAGGATCGCCTATGCACTTCTTCAACATGGAGATGTGAAATACCGGATGAACCGCTGCTAGTTCCTGTGGTAACTCCAACTCATAAGCAACATTGCCAATCCTCTTGGCTATGCGGTAAGGTCCAATATACCGGGGACTAAGTTTCCCCTTCTTACCAAACCTCATAACGCCTTTCATGGGTGAAACCTTCAAATATACCCAATCGTCTATTTCAAATTCTAACGCCCTTCTCCTAACATCGGTGTAGGATTTCTGACGACTCTGTGCCGTTTTCAACCTCTCTTGAATCACTTTCACCTTCTCCATAGCTTGGTGAACTAAATCTGGTCCTATCAACTGTGCTTCACCAACTTCAAACCATCCAATAGGAGATCTACATCTTCTCCCATAAAGAGCTTCATATGGAGCCATCTGGATGCTAGAGTGATAACTGTTGTTGTAGGCAAACTCAATGAGAGGTAGGTGATCATCCCAACTCCCTTTGAAATCGATCACACAAGCCCTCAACATATCCTCTAAGGTCTGAATAGTGCGCTCTGCTTGCCCATCCGTCTGAGGGTGAAAGGCAGTACTTAAGTTCACCTTTGAACCCAAGCCCTTCTGAAAAGATT